AGTGTGTGTGCTGTCCTGTGACCATGTGAATGTGCAATTGTATGCTTGAGTATGTGTGGCACAGTGTCCGAGTGTGTCAGTGGGAAGGATAGAGTGAGGGTGAGGTGGAGATGGAGTGTATGTCAAGAGTGAGTGACTGGAAAGCGAGCGAGCCAGCGCTCTGGAGACAGAGGGAAAGAGACAGAGACAAAGAGATAGAGAGAGAGAGAGGGAGAGAGGAGAGGAGAGGATGGCAGGGGAGAGGGCGGAAGTGAGGACGAGAGGGATTTCTCATGTGAATCAAACGACGAGAGTTACAGTGATGAATAAACGGTGAGTAAGAATGGGGTTTGGTCTCGTGCGACAAACACACAAATACACACACACACACTGCAGAGATGGAGTTAGAGAGAGCGCGCGCGCACGAGAGAGAGAGATGAGGAGCAAGCTGACATGCGGAGAACGCATTTTGAATCAGCATAAAGCACCCAACCGGGAGGTGGTAGGACTGAGGAGATCTATACAGGAAGCCAGAGACTAACAACAAGCCGCCAGTGGATATGACGATTGTATCAATTTCATGTATGACGAACGGGACAATGTGATGTTGAGTGGTGTTAGGTGCGGGGCTGAATGATGCACACGGTGTGTTTCTGTATCGTCTCGGATAGAGTGATTGACTTGTTCAGAGTGAGTCATCTGGTGGTGTGATGTGGTTTTCAGTGTGCATGCATTTATTGTTTGTGACAGGTGTGTTGTCTTGTGGATTGTTTTCTCTAGCCACGCGGGTGTGGGTGGAGTGGCCGAGCGGTCTAAGGCTCTGGTTTAAGGCACCAGTCCGAAAGGGCGTGGGTTCGAAGCCCACCTCCATCACGAGGTTTTAACCTAAACAGTAAGATTTGCAACAACAATTGTCACAAGTCCTTCCAGACTGTCGTATCACCTGGTTCCCGGAATCCTATAGCGTACCCAACTAACCAAGCATACACTGATTACACCACAACCAATCAACAACACCAAATTACCTTCCCACCGGGAACCGGATCACTTACACACAAGCACATGGGACGCAACTGTGCATCCCTACTGGGCGCTTCACTACAGCTACCCACCACCTCAGAGATGATCTTCATGATCGTGATTTGAACAACTCTATTACTGTCTTTCACCGTGTGCATGCAGTTTCACTTGTGGCTTTGTTTGTCTTGCTGTCGACTTGTGTATCACAGCACAAAATGTGTAACATCTACTACAGTGTGTCACTTCTGCTCACACTCTCCCTCACAGAAATCATCATACTTGTTGCAATACTCTATCTTGCCTTCAATACGAGCAAGCACATAGATACGCAGAAATTAGCATGCAGACACACATACACAAACACACACATCCAAACCTCTGCATACAACTGAAAACGCACTGGTAGCCGGAATGACAGGCAGGCAAACAGGCACACAATGATCATCATCATGATGGCGATACTAATAAGAATAAGAATACTGATAACAATTATTACTATTATTATTATTATTTTGACCATAATTCTGATCAGAACAATTGATATCATAATCGTTTTTATTATTATTTATTGAACAGCAATACTAATATTATGATGGGGATGTTTTCAGCTTATCTTGGAGTATTTGTGGACTGTGATTCTCTAATTGATGTAAGCTCCGATGGGATTGGGTTGTGATGAGTCGTGGTTGGACATTGACCCCCTGAAGAACCGATTTCAGACGGGATTATTGAGTCTTCTCACAGTTGGTGAAGTTGTCATCGAGTTTTAATGACTTCGGACTGATCAGTTGAATATTGATTATCGGTTGATTGAGTCTATCCCATGAGTGGTTTGTTGCATGGGATGTCACTTCTGAGTATTGTATTTGGATTTATGAGAACGAGAAATGCACAAATGTCTATGCGAGGGGTGAGGCACTCTTTGCTTTCTGTCGATTTTTTTTGGCGTGAATTATGTTTCTGTTTTGTCTTTTTTTGATATTCTTTACGAATATATCTTGCTTGCTATTTGATATTTTTTTGTTATGTGAATATTTTTTCATTTTTGCTTTTGTTGTGGTGTATGCTTTTTTATTTGATATTTGTATAGTTTTTCGTATTCCTTATATTTTTTAGTCTTCCTGAATTTTGTTACTTGGTGTTAATATCTGAGGAAGGTTATATACTAGTGTATCAGTGAGGCAATATTCAAGGATATATCATTGAATTTTGATTATATCACGCCGGTGAATTACGCTCTATTCATCGAAACGCGTTAATAGACGCTGGCTAAATCAGTTGGGGCAACTTCAGACAGGGACTCTAATAAAAAATCTCCCGTTCAGTTAAGCAATCAGCTAGTATAAGACGAAAAACGAGATGAAAACCTTATGACATTGATATTTCTGCTGGTGGAACTAATGAAGTGGCATAATTTTTTTTTATTATAGCTTCATTCCACAAAGTATTTAGGTACAACTTTGGAATTCTCGGCTTGTGATATCGGTAGCTCAAATTTAGCAGGCTCACCACTGATACCAGGTGTTCGTCAACCGGGGATCGACCCCCAGACCATGTGTATGGTAGACGAGCGTCCTAACCTGTGTGCCACCGACGGACGTGAATGTATTCACTTATCTGGATGATTTAACTGAGAATTTTTCGTTGTCAACATAGACAACATCTTCAGAAAAATCTTTAGCATGAAATGAACTTATCTGAATTCTCCAAAAATTATGTAATTGTATCCCCTGACAACCTTTCTCGTGATTGGTTGTAAATTTTCATCTGTAATGGTCATTTCTACTGACTTGTAATTTGACTTTTTTTATGTAGCTGATTCCTCACTAGTTGGACTGGATCTTATGCCAGACCTTGGGTAACGAGAAGACAGGCATACATGGGACCGACAAGAAGACCTTAGAAAGCATGGGCTTCTCAGACGATTTATGTCTAATGTCGACAAATTTGAAGACCTACTGACGAAAGCCAACAAGTTGACAGAGGAAGTAGGGAAGATAGGACTGTAAGTGAACATAGAGAATACAAAGGTCATAAAGATTTATAACCATCAACAAAACAACAAGCACTAATCACCATCAACGGTAGAAGTTGAAGAAACTCACTTCTTTCACCTACATAGGCAGCATCATTTCAACTATAGGAGGCACGGACAGGCATATCAAAGCCAGCTAGGATCGAGAAAGCAAGACATACATTTATCATCCTGAAATCCGAACTAGCATGAACGATAAGGTCCCGATTTTCAACACTGATGTTCTCCTACATAATTCGGAGATTCGACACTCATTTCCAAAACACATTTCTAATAGGCTTCAATTTTTTACGAACAGCTACCTTCTCTGTCTTAATTCTGAAGATCGGATGGTCAGAAAGGGTTAGCAGCAAACACCTCTGGCAACTAACCGAGAATAAAATCGTGCAAGGAGGAGTTAAAAACTTATGGGCAACCGTGCAGCCAACTAAAAAGGACTGAAGAGAGCAGAATGAAATACAGGTGTTCTGTTTTAGCCCTATGACCCACTCAGAACTCAAGGAAATAATAATGCGTCTGTTAATTGCTGATTCGTTCAAGCAAGAGACTTCTAGGAGTTACCTGTCATTTTTGGAGTTTAAAATTTCAACAGATTTCCCAGCCAAACTGATGTTCATATTTATTTACGTGCATTGATGTGAAAGAATACATGTCGTGTCTTTTCACGGGTATTTTATGTTCTCGGATTAGAAGTTGAAGTGGATGCCCAATCGGACCAGCATAGTACTTATCAAAATTAACGCAATTCGTTTTGTTGATAGTGCTGCTGGTATAAACAGATTCCCAACTTAAATATTCGTTTTTAGAAGAAAACTGATATAGCCTTATCACAATCCAAAGTGTTGTGCAAACGCATTAACATGTGCGACTCCGACATTTTAGGAAGTTACCTACAGTCAAAGACCGGTCCGGTAAACTTAGTGTATACAGACAACAGCACTGGGGTAACTTAAGAAGAAATTTGAGTGTGTCTGACATGCGATTATCCCTCATCAAATGTAAGGTAGTGCCATAGGAATCTTCTCCACTGACTCCTAGTTTAAATAAAGGGAATGGGTTGGTTGAATGAGTTAGCCACCACACTTAGAGAGAGTTATTTGTGAAATCTCACCACGGATACAGAAAGCATGCTTGTCATTTGACAGCCTGGGTCGTCTTTCGCACAGGTGTTACTTGAAAAAGCTTGTTGTAAGCATAAATTTGCTTTTTAGTATTTCACTCACTGAAATCAGACACCTTTTTTCACCTTCTGCTTTTCAGTCCAGTAAAATCGTATTGGCACTGTGGTATTAGATTTCTCTTTCAACTTGAATTCACAAATTAGTTTTACTGTGATCGCTAACTGGTACTGATACTTAGACATATTTAATCGTCTTATTATTGTACTGACTACCATTTCACTAGAACTGTAATCATGAAAACCATGTTGACATTTTTCGACAGTAAGTTTGAAGACTAAATGAAATTAAGTTTCTGCGGATTTTTAGAATAATACTACAGTAAGTAACCTTATCCACTGAGGTCTTTTCACCATTCAACAGGAATAATAAAATATGCATAAACAATGCACCCGACTCCTTCTTTCTTTCTTGAGTCACACATAAAGTTCTTCTGTTTAGGAATAAAATTGCACAGTAAATTTATCAGGATAACAAGATTAGGTATTTTTCCTTGAAAGGAAAAATAATCCTACCCGTAGAGTAGCAGTAATAATAACAGCCAAGTATGGAGAAATGAGTAATGCAAAATACAATGTAATTGCCTTGACGGAAATATAAGACTGCCACTTAACTGTGAAACTTTGTAAATATCTTTATGTCGTTCCACAGAAAGAATACATAAAATCATCTTTTAAGGATTTATAGCCAACCAAGTCCAGTTATGCTTAAGTTTAAAAATAAAAGAAAGAATTGAAAATATTTGTTTTAGATAACTTTCAAAATGACAAAGGAAAGCAGGAGTTAGCCTAATAATCAAGTAAATTATTAACAAACATAACAACACGATCTTTCAAACTTAACAATGTTTGATATGCCGATTCTAGCATACTCCATGCCCGAGTTTCATCACTAGTTGGTGCTATAGCTGTTGTATCCGTTAATCCATGACATATACGTCCCTCAGTTGAATCAGAAAAATGAATGTCTGACTGTGAACCGTTTCCAGTTACTGATTTGAAATCTGTGTCACTTTTGATGGTGTCGGCTTTCATATCATTACTTGGTAAGATGTTTTCTTTACTGTTCTGTTGTTGTAGAAGTTCCATTGCACCAACATTTGTTTCACTTAATTCACTAGAATGTTTTAAAGAACTTTTTTTCTCAACTGTAAATTTCTTCTTGACTACATTTCTGCTCGATGAGTCTTCATTTAAATGTACAGCAACTTCATCTGTATTATTCAGTAAATCATCGTCAATTATGGAATCTAATGTATTTTTAAAGGCTATTTCAATAACTAATTCTAATACAGTCCCACAGGTATCCTCTTCTGAAGAAACTTTTTGTACTTGAGTAGTTGCATGCATTTATTTATCTAATTCCACTCTGCATTTCTTAATGTTTAGAACATATTGATTTTCATTCAAAATAAGTATCGATCATACCTATACGAACACGGATTAGCTTAACGCGTTTTCATTTGTAAATCCCACACATAATATTCTTAAGTGACTAAATTACCTATAAGAATACTAAACAATCACTAGGTGCATAAACCGTCGAATTTCACCTAATGGACCTGAAGGTAGTCTTTTCGTCCAAACCACTGATATGTGTCAGTAATAACAATGCAACTCAGTAATAATATATTTGGACCTGTCTATAGACTTGCAGCCCTATCCAGTCTGGTGGTTAGTAAACTTAGTACGTACGAATGATAGTAAACCGACTAGAAAAATATATGTGGAGAGAGAATTCCACTTGTTGAAAGTCTTCTCTCTAAGACTACACTTTTATTACTGTGATATATTAAAAACTGTCATTACGTCAGACTGTCACTGCGTACACTTGCTAATATGAAAATGACTTTTAACCCTTCATTTTGTAAGTTTTTTAATCCCGAAGTATTTCACTGACTTCCACCTAGTTTAACGTACTTCGTTATTATTTATTCTTTAAGTTCCTAGTGGAATATACGACTTTGGCAGAACATGTCCGATCAGTTTGGTTCTGTCATCACTACAAGCTGGCTTCACCACTGGCCACGAGCTTCACATGATCTACTCCTTATCACTGTTGGACGCCCAACGTGTAGCTTCCTACATATAAGGGCCTAGCGTGTGGTGTCACACATCAGTGTATGTTTAGTCCACCCCATATTTTTTGGGCAATGGGTTCTTGGCTGTTTCACAGGACTGTCAGAGTTCTGATCTTAAGTACCAAGCGAAGGCATTTGTTGATGAAATTCTGTCGAAGTCTGTTGGGGATGCTTTTGGTGATGAGCGCGCTAAGTCTCTAAACCATGCAGAAGCACTTACATGACATTGATGTTGAAAATTCGGATGATGTTCTTTTGCTTTAGATTTCCTCATTCTTTTCAAATAATGTTTCACATACTTAAGTGTGAACACGGACGAACAAAAAACCATATTGATTTGATCTCAGTGCTGCTCAAGGAAGTGGAGACGCAGCTTACTGGACAAAAAAAGTAAGAAGAAGAGCAGACGTTGACTCAGGCCACTATTTCGTACAAGGGACAATCCAAATAAAACTAAAAGCTTTCAAAGAAACAGGAGCTGCAGATAGACCAAAAGCTAAGTTCAATACTCAAAAACTGAAGGATCAGGCCACAAAGGTCATTTTCACTGCAATCATAAGGAAAAAGGCGGAAACGCAAATCAACACTAACGAAGAGACCAGCGTTGAAAAACACTGGAACAGCCTGAAAGCGGTGTGGAGTCAAACCTACATGGAAGTTTTAGGCAGAAAGAAGAGACAGGACAAACAGTAGCTCACTACGGACACACGGGGACTAATAGAAGAGAGAAGGATGATGAAACAAAAGATTATTCAGTGCATCGACGAGCAAAAACAACAGGAGTTGAATGCAAGCTACAATACACTGAACAAAAGAGTGCCAGGGAAGACAAAAGAAAATATTATATAGGCATGGAAAGTGAAGCAGAACAAGCTGCAGGCAAAGGAGACCTCGCAACACTACCAAACAACTAGGTACCTATCGGGAAAAAGTTAGACACAAATTCAGCCAGTGAGGGATGACAATGGAAAGCCAATCACCAAAGAAGTGGAGCAAAGAAAACACTGGGCTGAACACTTCAAAAGACTTCTAAATCGACCGCCACCTACAACGCGCCCAACAACGAAAGCAGAACTACCAGTGAACATCGACCCCCCGACGAAATCAGAAGTCCTGGAGGAAATCAAGATGCCAAAAGTTGGAAAAGCAGCAGAACCAGATGGAATCCCAGCAGAAGCACTGAAAATGGACCCCGGGACAACAACGGACTTGATGACACCACTACTGGAGAAGGTGTGGAAAGAGGGCAAGGTACCTGCGGAGTGGAAGAAAGGCTACCTATTCAAACTGCAAAGGTAGGAGACTTAAGTCAATGCAAGAACTGGCGCGGAATTATGCTCCTGTCCATTCCAAGCAAAATACTAAGCCGCATCATCCTGGAGAGAATCAAACACGCCCTGGATGAAAAGCTTTGACCGGAACAGACTGTAATCAGGAGAAACAAGTAATGCATCAATCAAATCCCGACACTACAGATCATCATTGAACAGAGCTTGGAGTGGTAGTCAACTCTCTATCGCAACTTCATTGACTTTGAAAATGCCTTCAACAGCGTCGATCGAGAGGTGATTCGGCAACTACTTCCCTACTACGGGGTGCCGTCAACACCTGTACATCTCATCCAACAGTTGTACGACAATGCTGCATGCCAAGTAATCCACAACAGGAGACTCACGGAATCCTTCGAAGTGATTTTTTTTATTTTAGCTTGACTCCACACCGTATTTCTGGTACAAGTATGGAATTTTCAGCACAGGATACCGGTAGCCCAAATTTTGCAGGTTGCCCATTGATATCAGGTGTGCGTCGGCAGGAAATCGAACCCCGGACCATGTGCATGGTCGGCGGGAGTAAGACAAGGCTGCCTACTATCTCCAATGATTTTCCTGATTGCGGTAGACTGGATAATGCGACAGACAGCGAGCAGCAAGGAAACAGGCATAAAATGGACCCATACAAAAAGTTGGAGGATTTGGACTTCGCTGATGATATGTGTCTGACATCCCACAAACTGGAAGATATGCAAGTGAAAAGCAACAAGTTGGCAGAATAAACATCCAGAGAAGATAGAACTTCAAGTGAACATAGAGAAAACAGAGGTTATGAAGATTCCTGGCCAACAGCAACAAACAACATAAGTGGGAGAAGTTTGAAAGAAGTAACCTCTTTTCACCTACCAACCGCGGAAGCATCGTTTCAACTACAGGCGGACGAGAATATCAGAGCAAGGATCGAGAAAGCAAGGCAGGCTTTCACTGCTCTCAAGTATGCGTGGAGGTCAACAGCACTCGGCATGAAAGATGCGGATTTTCAACTCCAATGTCAAGTCAATGCTACTTTATGGATAAGAGACTTGGTGCGTCATAAAGAGCACCTCAAACAAACTACAAACCTTCATCAACATCTGTCTTCACTCAATACTCAAGAGCAGAAAAGATCAGCAACACAGTGGGATCTCTTGAATCGAACCAACCAGGAACCAATTGTGCAACAAATCTGCGGGAAGAAATGGAAGTGAATTGGCCATACTCTGAGGAAACCACCAAGTGACATCATAAAAGAGGCCTTAAAGTGGAACCCGAAAGGGAAGCGGCGAGTTGGCCGTCCAAGGTGATATGGAAGAGGTCATGCGAAGAGGTGGCAGACGTGGAGTAGGGTGAAAACGTTGGCAGAGAACCGACTATGATTAAAGGACATATTAACGCTATAACTCAAATGCGCATCTATTCATTTATTTTCGGTAAACATGATAAAAACAGCAAGATATCAGTATGACACTAGACATCCCCGTTATCAGAGAATAGACTGATATTTCAAAAAGTTCACTCATACAAAATCTCTCTTGTACAATTTAAGCCTAGGAAATCCTAACAAACGTGTTGATTGATTAATACATTGCACTTACTATGGAAAAAGTGAGGATCCTTAAATTAACCCATGTTTTGAGTAAGAGGTTGAAAGTAAAATATTTGATGAAGATCAATAACTCAAACAAAAAGTTGAAGAGCATCCAAAAGTTGTAGAAATCATCCCGTTAATTTCGTGCTAGTTATGAAACAGGCCTAAACCATTCCTAGGTTATGGAGCGGGAATTTAATCACTCCAGCACAGTTTTCCACCAACATGTCGAAGATTGGAACCTCGTCTTATCTAGAGGGGTATCGACAGACACATGGAATCACTAGTCCTCACAAAGTGTGTAGCTCATTCTAAGGCCTCTTAGTATCTTTAGGCTTATAAAATAAGCTTAAATAAGGTAGCCAACCGGTCATCAATATTGACAAAACGATTTGGATGCATATTATACAAAGAAAGAACTGGAAACTCATACTTAGCTTCATATTACCACAATGATAAACAAAAATCCACTGCACACAATGCTATTTAATTGACTGCTTGTTTTATTTAGTTCAACAAGATACATCAGAAATACAGTTTTATGTTCTAAATATACGCTAATTTTCTTAGTAACTAAAATGAGTATAAGTATACTATAACAAAAGTCAAAGCAATAGCATTTTAAAAATGATGATAACGACAGTTAAAAATAACGACAACAAAGAATTTAAATTATGTTAAACTGGAAATCTAAACAAAAAATCTGAATATTCATTTTATGTACAAAAATCAAAAATTAATCATCATGACAGGAAAAGAAGAGTAGTAGTTACAGTACAATTGTAAGAGGAAAGAAATAAAGTGTAAACTAGTTGTTACCTTACACTTAACAAGCAAAAACAAGTCCACAGAACAATCCATTATAATATATCTGGTTACTAATCACCAATATACAGCATCTCCAGGTGGTTTTATATAACCAGACACTATTAAAATAAAGTCAACAATACTCCATAAACCAAGACCACCAAAACTGAACAATTTGCCTAGTCCTTCAATCCACATACCTAGATAAAATCGATCAACGCCTAAACCTCCAAAAAATAAACTTAAGATAACAGTTAATGCATAGCTTTTACCAGAAGACCAATCACATGGTACCATACGCCTGAATACCCTTCTTCCTAAACATAAAACATGTGGAAGCGGTTCACACCTTGTTTCATAAAAACTTCGAGCTACATTCGGTTGGCGACAATTAGTACGGCCAATACAAACAATTTCAGAATCATCCAACTGATGACAATAACGACAGATAATTGACTTCTGAATAAGACAGTCTGTATAGTCCTTGGGGTAATAGGAAGACTGTGGGGAATCAGTTGTTAGAACATGGTTGCTTTTGTTTTCAATGTCTGGATCTTTACAGTAAACTCCATGACGGGGGAAACAGGTAACGTTAGTCACCATGCCATATATACATGATGTATTGAAGTTACAAGTGAGACAATAACCAGGTAGCTCGCTACATTTATACTGCATGTATGGACATAGATGTTGCCATTTTGCCTGAGTAGAATGATTTGTAACAGACTCATTTATAGATGTTGAATTGACATCTGATAATTGCAGTGAGGGTGTTAAATAATTAGGTATACCTGTGTCCACTTTTTGTAATTCATGAGATGTGTTCTCAAAAACATCGTGTGCAAGGAGAAAATATCCGAATGATGCAAATATCCAAGTTAGTACTTGTGTTAGGATGAGCTGTAAGAAAATTTTAAAAAATTTTTTACCGTTACTAAAGGTGAAGAACGGAAATCTCATGAATAAGGTTTTGAGGTACACTGTAGACAAAATTGGAAAAAAAATGACTGAAAATATTTTATACGCGCATAATGGATCTCTATATCTAAATTTCATGATTGGTTATCACACAAGGAACTTTAAACGTTATAGGTGTATATGGGCACCAGTGCACTAACAGAGATAATTTTACTTATAACTTAAATTAGTGAGAAAATCAGAATAATTGTTAAGAAAGAGATAGATAGTTAGCTGCCAGTCAAACTGGCTATTAAAAATTAGAAACAAGAGTTAGTAACTTCTGACACAGTTGGCGCTAATACACAGTTCTCAAATGGATATCAGAATTAAGTCAGCAAGCAGCTGCATCACTGTATACAGTTCAGTGGTTCCAATAGTCTGTCTGGATTCAACATAGAACTTGGCACCGAAGTGCAGCAGTTCGAGTTGCCACCTTCCAAATAGCACACAGAGGTAGACAAGAAGATGAGTGAAGAGAATCAATACAGTTTGACAAGTATAAGAGTGAAACAGAATGGGTAATGGTAGAAAGGAATATGAAAGATTACAGAGACTGAATACATCTGCGCCATTGACAACGATTTTGAGCCATGTCACCTATTGTCTCCAGCCATTGATTCCTAGAGTCCCGAGGGCCCCAACCCGGGAGTCTGCATCTCCCTACCTGACTCAGTTTAACTGTCAAGGATTTCATGGATTGATGCCATGTTTTTGTTTGGCCACCACTGGCTCTTTTCCAACCTGAACCTATATCAGCTAGCAATGCCCGTCGGGGGAGGCGGTGGTTAGGCATGCGCAGCACGTGACCTAGCCATCTTAGTCTATGTAACTTTATAGCCTCGTCGATTGATTTTCCCTCTTTGCCCAACACTCTACGCCTAACGTCAACATTACTTACCTTGTGAAACCACCTAACGTGAGACAGAGATCGCAGACATCTATGATCGAAAGCAGTCAACCTTTTCATGTCTTCAACGCGTATTGGCCATGTTTCAGAGCCATAGAGAAGGACGGAGCGAACTGATGAGCAGTACACACGTCCCTTGGTTGATAACCGGATGTCACGCCTACGCCAGAGATGGTGTAAGTCAGCGAAAGCAGCTCGAGCTTTTCGGATCCGTGCTGAGATTTCATCGCCAATCAGTCCGTTGGTGCTAATACAACTTCCCAAATAGGTGAAGTGGTCAACATGTTCTATCACTTCACTCCCTATCACTAAGTTAGGGTTGACGTAGTCCAGTCCTGTAGCAGCATCTTACATTTTGTAGGGGCGAATCGCATGCCAAACATACGAAGATTGCTGCTCAAGGTGTTCAGAAGACTCTGCATTTTGTCAGCATCCTCCCCTAACAGGACTATGTCATCTGCATATTCTAAGTCCATAAGATTATTCCCTGGTAACAAGTCGATTCCTAAGTCATTACGTTCAGTTAAGGATACTTCCATCAGCATATCTATGATGAAGTTAAACAGAAATGGGGAAAGTGGACATCCCTGTCGGACACCACTGGTTGTTACCAATTCAGATGACAATTCCCCATAAGCCCTTACACGACTACGTGAGTTTGAATAGAGTGCCTTGATTAGTGCAATGTACTTTCTTGGCACTCCCTTCACAGTCAGACATTGCCATAGTACCTTTCGATCCACGGAGTCGAAGGCCGCCTTCAAGTCAAGAAATATGACAATTGTTGGACGCCGAAAAGTGTGTCTATGTTCTAGAATCTGTCGAAGAGTGAAGATATGATCTATGCACCCTCTACCTGGTCTAAAGCCTGCTTGATTTTCCCTTGTCTGTTCCTCCCGAGTTCTGCTTAGTCTATGCATGATTACTGAGCCTAGGATTTTAGAGACTATGTTCGTTAGGCTGATCCCCCTATGATTATCACACGAGGACTTGTTTCCCTTCTTGAATATCGGTGTAATAAGTGACTTACCCCAGTCTGATGGACTGTCTCTGATTCCCAGACTTTGCCTAGTACCTCAGTTAATCTACAAACTAGTATGTCACCCCCATATTTAAACACCTCCGGAATAATTCCGTCGGGTCCTGCCGCTTTGCCTCGTTTCAAATTACTGATAGCTTTTGTGACCTCACTACAGACGGCGGACCAGTGTCTATATCCCATTCGGGTGTGCTGGATGTCGGGGAGGTTCAGTGTGGCTGTAGGCAAGTTAAATTGTCCTCAAAGTGTTCTTTCCAGCGTTCAAGGCGTCTATCCTGAGAGCTAATTAAGGAGCCATTTTTCTCAGAAATAGTCTCACTTATGATTTGCCTTCTCCCACCCGTTTCTGATGAGTCTAAAGAGTTGCCTAGTGTTGCCTATCGCCGATGCTTTTTCCATCTCTTTCGCCTTTGTCACCCACCACTGTTCACGGTCCTTGCGGAGACTTTTAGTAAGTTTCCTTTTGTGCAGCTTTCGCTCCTCATTGAATTCGGAGCTCGCCGGAATAAGTCTTCTAGCATCTATCAGTTCGGATGAGGCAGTCGAAATCCAGTGGTTTTTACTCACCTTTGGATTTGCCTTATTCACAGCTTTTACAGCTGTATCTATAGCTGACTGAATATTCTTCCAGGCTTCTCCAGGGTGAGCACAGCTGTCGAATTCAGATATGCGTTTAGCTAGTTCTTCCTCAAATAGGGATTTAGTTTCCTGATCGAGCTGGGGACGTGATGGTTTTACCGCCAGCTGTTTCCTACGTCCGTTCAGTCGTAAGCACACACGAGCCCGGACCAGTGCGTGATCGGTATCTACACACGTGTTCCAGAAGGAGCGACAATCTCCTACCGACCCACGCCAACGATAGCTTATTGCTATGTGGTCTATTTGTGTCCAGCGTTGGTTTGATGATGGGGGTCGCCAGGTTAAACAGTGTCTCTCCTTGTGTTTAAAGTTAGTGCTTACAAGAAACAAATGATTATCTGAACAGAACTGTAGGAGACGGTCACCGTTGTCGGTTCGCTGGCACGGAACTCCATAGGTGCCACCGACATCCTTCTCAGATTGACACAATTTCCCTACTTGAGCATTAAAGTCACCAGCTAGAACGACTATATCTGAGCGTTTAGCCTTTCTCACCAAACTAGACAGCTTTTGGTAGAACTCATCCTTCGTTTCATCCGAACTGCAGTCAGTGGGGGCGTAGGCGGAGATTACGAAAAGGCATCGGCGAGTAGTGCAGTCCTTTCTCCTTCTTACTGATCCGTTCAGACGGACAGCACACATTCGGCTATCTACCGGGATCCAGTCAAGCAATGTCTTTTCTGCCCTAGTACTCAAGCTATCCCTACGCCAGCTAATCCTCGTGAACTAGCTGTGGCATCTCCTGACACCCTCAAGGTGAATTTTGAAGATTCATCCTGTTGGCCAGGTGGGGTTAGGTGAATAACCACACTTGGGTCTTGTATGCGTGTTTCTGAAACACAACATACATCAATGGCTCGGGATGCCAGGGTCTTAGCTAGTGATGCTTGTTGTCCTATTTGGCAAAGTGTCCTAACATTAAATGCTCCTATATGAAATTGGTTCCAATAGTGCCACAGCCTCATTTCCTACTGCTTTTAATCATTATTTTTCAAACTGATTGTCATTAAGAACTAACTGAAAATTGTATCTGTTGAACTTTGAACTGAATAAGTCAACTAAAAACATCCACCAATTTATCGTGATATAAGGGAAATCTAGTGAGTATATTTCTCAAGAAGAGCTCGCCGATACAAATATGACTACAACAGGTAACCATAATACTTGATTGCCTTGCTTGTTTCATATTTTAGTTGGTGAGGCTAATTAATTTAGAAACCCTAATCACAACCAGTGAATCAAAAGTTGTGAGCATGCATACCCAACTGAAACAATAGCCCTAATTTCTACACATACAAGTATGTATTACTTCATTGGGTTGCTCACTTACATTTATTTTGACACATCTTATTACTATGAATGCTTGTATTATTATTATTATTATTATTATTAGCTATAACTCCCCAGACCGGAGGCTGTCACCTTGATGTGGTGGTCGGGGTTGCAAACCGCAATGACCCAACAAGCTACACTGGCTAGAACAATCGTTCCTGCAGGTCCTACAATGCCAGGAAGGTTGTTAGGATAGCGATTAGACTAAAGGCAGTTACCGACATAGTGTTAGAATCTATCCTACAATTTGCTGGGGGTCTGAGGGCGAAGTCGTACTGCTGGGGAACAGGGGTATAGCAGCAATGGGGTGTTTCCCTCAGATGACCAGCATGCCACCTACGCTGCCTCTCCACCCTGGGGAGAGGCGGTTAGAAAAGGTCAACCCCGAAAATTCTACATCCCGACTTACCCTACGGTGGTCCGTAACCGGCGGTAAGTTTACTAATACGGAACCAAACCAAGAAACCAGTTCATAAAGGCCGTGTGTGATCGGCCTCAAGTAGTTTTCCCCTGGGCTCTGTGGTCGCGCAACACTAGTGAGGCATCTTCTTTTCACTCTGTGATCACAAATAACGGTGAGAGCCATAGAAACACCCCTGACAGCCTTTTAAAGCCACGTCGCCAACTTCATATAGCAGCATTTGACGTCAGGACCCTCTTCCGAATCGGACATCAGGCATCACTACCAAGAACGCTGGCATCTCAAGCCATGGATGTATGTTCTGTTTCGGAGACACGCATACAGGACCCTAGTATGGTCACTCACTTAACCTCACCCGGTCAACAAGGTGAATCTGCATGATTCACTTTAAGTGTGTCAGGAGACCCTTCAGCTAGTTTGCGATGACTCGCATGTGTAGATGGCATTGAGTTTAAGGGCAGAGAAATAACCTCTTGACTGGATCCCAATTATCATAACTGACACGATTATGAACAATAAATTTTGTTCGAAACGTCATCCAGTAAACAATACTGTTTCACTGAGTGATACATCTAATAAACAAATTAATTTGGAATCTCTAGGAAAAGTAGCACCATAATTAGCTCCCAGGATACACGACTGGAACGCTGGAAAGAACTCTTCGAGGAGCAGTTTAATTGGCCTACAATCACATTCAAATTACCGAACATCCAACACCTCCCTGAATGAGATATAGACACAGGTCCATCGTCCCTAACTGAGGTTAGTAAGGCTGTCACTAGTCTGAAACGAGGCAAGGCAGCAGGACCCGATGGAATGACCCCACAGGTATTTAAGTACGGTGGAAACAGTTTACTGTCTGTGTTAACCAGGGTACTAGACAGCGTATGGGAATCAGGAATTCCCGTCGGGTCGGTGTAAGTCACTGATCATCCCCATATACAGGAAGGGATACAAGTCTTCCCGTGATAATAACAGGGGGATTAGCTTGACTAATATGGTATCTAAAGTCCTAAGCTCAATAAATCATGCGAAGAATCTGTGGTGCTCGGGAGGCACAAACATGAGAGAACCAGGCTGGCTTTAGACCAGGAAGATGGTGTATTGGTCATATTTTCACCCTTGAGCAGATTCTGGAACACAGGTGGCATACTCACAAGCGTCCAAGAATCATAATATTTTTTTGACCAGAAAGCGACATTCCATTCCCTCAACCAAGAAATACAATAGCGACGTTTGGCTGTGAAGGGAATGCCGGGAAAATACACTGCACTGATCAAGACACTCTACTCGACTGATGCAGCTATCCAGTTGAGAACTTACGGCGAGTTGTCATCTGAACTGGCGACAACTAGTGTTGTCATTCAGGTATGCCCACTATCCCCATTTCTATTCAATTTTATTATAGATGTACTAATGAACGTAACCATAACTCACTTCAACGACTCAGGGATTGACTTGCTACCAGGGAATAATCTCGTTGACTTAGAATATGCGGATGATATAGTCCTTCTAGGTGAAGACGCTGGCAAAATGCAGAGTCTTCTGAATACCTTGAACTGCAATCTTCGAATGTTTGGCATGCGATTCGCTCCAGCCAAATGTAAGGTGACGTCACAGGACTCGACTACACTGACTCCTAGCTTAGAAATAGGGAGCGAACTGGTAGAGCATGTTGACCATTTCACTTATTTGGGGAGTTGCATCGACCTCAACGGCTTGATAGCTGACGAAATCGCAGCACGGAGACAGAGGGTTAGTTTCGCATATGTCAGTTTACGCCTCTCTGGTGTAGACGTGATATCCGGCTGGCTGTCGACCAAAGGGCGGGTCTGCTGCTTAGCAATCCACTCAGTCCCTCTTTATGGCTGTGAGACCTGGCTATTGAGAGTGGAAGACATGAGAAGGCTGGCTATCTGTCTTTGATCATAGGTGCCTGAGTTCTATCTTCCGTGTGAAGTGGTAATAATAAGGTGAGTAATATTGAGGTTAGGCATCGGTTGAGTGCTTGGTAAGGAGGGGGAAATGAATCGACGAGGCTGTGAAGCTACATCAACTGAGATGGTTAGGACATGTGTTACGTATGCCTGGCCACCGCCTTCCTCAACGGGCAATGTTAGCTGACATAGGTGAATCACGTTAGAAAAGAGCCTGTGGTGGTCAAACCAAAACATGGCACCAGTCAATAAAGTCCACAAAAGTTAGCTTAAGCCACGTAGGGAGGTGTAGACTTCCTGGTTGGGGTCCTCGGGACGGTAAAAACCAATGGCTGGAGACAATCGGTAATATGGCTCAAAGTGATCGCTCTCAATGGCTAGCGCAGATGCATCCACTCCTTGTGACTTATAATTTCCAATGAAACTGTATCGTTCTTCGTTATTACTATTCCATTTGTCTGATATCGCTGTCTACTGTCTCTGTTTTGCATTTCTTCTGCTTTCTTCTGTTGCTTTGTATGCTACATGGAGTGTGGCGCACATCAGTGCAAAGTTCTACGTCAAAAACAGACTTCGTCTACATGATTTCTTTAAAAAAACTAACAATGGTTGTGAGTACTTAATCAGTCATTTTCGCTTATTTAATACACATTTCTTTTTCATATCGACTTTTCTTATCTTGTTTTACAGATAATTCCTGGCTAACTTTGTTATTCACCCCTAACTGTTTCACTAAAATATATCACCTGTTTTTATAGACGTCAGTGAAATTAATAGCCCTATCATCTGGCCGATTACAACATACAGTGTCAAAGTAACTGCTTATATATCCTCTATGACAGACAGATAAATTGAAATCTAGTAGGTTTTGTAAATTTAATTGCCCACATATAATTTACATAGAATAGTACATACCATTGGTCCAATTTTCATGCTCTTGATATCTGTATGAAGATGAAGAAATTACTGTTTTTTGTATTTTGATGAACAGTGGAATATACGATTAGCGATGATAAGCATTCGGTTGGTGAAAACTCCATTTTTAACGCAGTCTGTGAAATACAAGAAAAAAGATAAATAAGGTGAGGTAAATTTGTATAAACCTTTCAAATAGATAACTTCCATGGCCTTAAGCAATTCTTAACTGAGACGAATATCTCGGGATAAATTAAAACGCCGACTGATGATTCTTACAAAATAATCACTACACAAAACACCTAGTACTATAAAAACGCAAGTAGACGTAGAATTCCTCACGAAACACGTTGTTACAAATTAACCTGCTTTGAAAACTAGTTGATTTCAAACACACCTTTCCACAGAAGTGTAAGTTACCACATCCCGTGTAGCACAGAAAGGTGCAGAGAAGAAAAAAGAAATTCAGTAGAACTATGATGAGCAAACAAGCTTGAGAGAAAGAATAGCACCTGGAGAAACATGCGGTCTTAATGGATCTGGGAGTGGATGCGACTGCGTCACTCAGGGCAATTTTGAGTCATATCGCCAACAGACATCAGTGACTGGCTCCTAACCTCCAGAGGATCTCAACTAAATAGTCTACACCTACTCACACAGTTCGAACCAACTGTCGAAGACTAAATGCATTGATTTGAAGCTCCGGTTTGACAACCCCTCACTCCTTTCCAACCCAACCTTATGTCAAAACACGCCCTAGCTATCTCAACTGATGTAGCTACACAAACTCACCGATTGACTTGCCTTCCCTACCTAGCATTCCCGGCCTAACCTCAGTATTACTCACCAGATTATACACGGCATTATTGCATAAATGTTTGGAAAGAAGGAAAGGTACCAACCGATTGGAAGAAAGGCTACCTTGTCAAGCTACCAAAGAAGGGCGACTTAGGGCGCTGCATGAACTGGCGTGGAATTATACTCTTGTCCACTCCAGGCAAAATACTAAGTCGCATCATCCAGGAGAGAATAAAAGATGCACTGGATACGTAACTCCGTCACCCACCGGAACAAGCTGGGTGGATCAAGGAAAGGCAAGTCAGGTGCTAATCAAATTGAAACTTTACGCATCGTCATCACAGAACAAAGCATAGAATGGCAGTCAAACCTCTCTCTACCTCAACTTCATCGACTTTGAAAAGGTTTTCAGCAGACAGCTTTGACCGAGAAGTAATCTGAGAAGCTACTTCATTCAAAAGCTGGCTATATGACAATACCACGTGCCAAGTGGTCCACAACGAAAAACTCAGCGGTATTCGAAGTGAATACAGGAGTTAGACGAGGCTACCCACTACTATCATCGATGATATTCTTAATTGTGGTGAACTGGATTATGAGGAAGACTGTGACTGGGGAGTGAGAAGACAGGAATACGCTTCACTGACCAATAAGAAGACTCTAGAATATCTGGGTTTCTCGTGTGGATGATTTGTGTCTAATGTCACACAAACTCGCAGAATTGCAGGCGAAAAGCAACAAACTGGCTGAAGAAGCAGCCAGAGAAGACAGGACTTCAAGTGGACATCGAGAAGACGGGGATGATGAAGATAATTAACCAAAAACAATCAGCATCAATCACCATCAACGGGAGATATTTTACAGAGGTTACATCCTTCATTTATCTAGGAGGCATCGTTTCAAATACAGGCGGAACGGATGAAGATGTCAAAGTCAACCAGAATCAGAAAGGCGAGATAGCCTTCATCAACCTAAAACCAGTTTGAAAATCTTCTGGACTGATTCAGCCAGGGTAAAGAATATCATTCGGGTTTTCAACACCAATATCAAGACAGTGAGTTCTTCTATATGGGTCAGAAACTTGCACTGAATGTTACGAAAAGGATTTCCAACAGGTTGCAGACTTTTATCAACAGGAGACATCGCTCCATACTTAAGATCAAATAACCAGCCGGCCAAAAAGAATCAGCAACAAGAAGCTTTGGCTAAGAACAAACCAACCAAGAGCTGATAGCTCAACAAATTTGTGGGAGAAAATGGAGATAGAACGGGCATACATCGAAGCCATCGCATGACATTGCGCTCAATGCAGGCCATCGCTCGAGTGGAATCCGAATGGGAAGCGACGAGTGAGTCGTCGGTGCGAGGGTGACACGGAGGAGATCGTGCGAAGAGATAAGATATTATAGTCAATCGTGTACTCAGCTGAAGAGAACAGCAGAAGATAGAACGTGATGTGTTGTTGAAGCCCTATGTTTCACTCGGAACTCAAGGGAATAGTAACAATAGTATACCCCTTAACGCAGGAGATAGGACGCAAATATCTGTGGTCAAGGACAACTAGTCTCTTCATAGCCTTCACTTTCAGTTGGCATATCTCAAAAGCATGAGGAAGGACAGAACCAAATGGTGTGCAGTACATGCAGAGCTGAAAGCTCAATATCACGTTGAAGACAAATAATGTATTCTGCTGAATGTCACACAAGCCTTTTGTAGCCACGATAAAGTCTCATCAGCAATCAGTCTACTAGGGTTGATACAACCTTGGAATTACGTGGTTAACACGATCAACCATTTCACTCCCTATCTTTAAAATGAGAGTCGATGTAGTCCAGTTTTGTAATATAATCTTACATAAGACAAGTGAATCCCATGACAAACATATTAAGATTTCTGCTTAAAGTGTTTAGAAAGCTCTACATTTAGTCAGCATTTTCTAGGTAACAAGTCAATCCTTAAGTCATTAAGGATCACATCCTTTAGTAAATTATTGTAAAAATAAAACCTGAACAAAGGCATCACACATTGCCGTCGGACACCAAAGATTACCTTTACTTGCCATTAACTTTCCATAAACTGAGTCCGGATAGAGTGCCTTGACTAGTGTGATACACTTTCTCAAAATTGGGTTCATGGCCGGACAATAACACAGTACCCCTCGACGAACGGAGTCAAATATCGTCTACAAGTAGAGAAATGTGGCAAAATTTGGACGCCAATAAGCATGCCTATGTCCCAGTATCCGTTGAACTTCAAAGATGTGACAAACACACTCATCCTGGTCAAACCTATCTTATTTAGCAGGAAATGTTTCTCCTGTGTACCACTTAGTCTACCCCGACCGAAAGCTGCTACCTTGACGTGGTGGTCGGGCTTGAACACCGCAATGACCTAATCAAGCTATACTGGCTGAGACTTATGTCGCTTGAGGTTCTACCATGCCAGGCAGGTTGTTTGGATAGCGGTTAAACCAAAAGCATCTACCCATTCCAACACTATGATACATAAAAACTTACAAAATATCATGCCGGATCGGCCCTGGCCCGGATTAACAACGACCGCGCTTCCTGCTGCCGTGTCACAGGGCAGGAGTGATAAGTATGCTACTGAGGCACACCAAACAAAAAAGAACAAACAAAAACAGGCCGCGTGTGACCGGCCTCAAGCAGTTGTCCCCTGGGCTCTGCGGTCACGCAACCAACTTCCACGGTGTGGGCAGCCGGGAAGTAACAATCGCCCTCACAATCCGAAATGCACACAAAACCTCTCTAATCCTCACTTATCTTTGTCTTCATCTTCATCTCTATTACCTTGCCTTCCTTCCACTGATGCAACTCCTCTACTTGATGGCTCCTCACTTCCTCTTCACTCTGTGTCCACTAAAAACGACGGAAGCCAAAAAACCACCACCGATAGTCTCCTAAAGCCACGCCACCAATTTCATATAGGAGCATTTAATGTTAGGACACTTTGCCAAATAGGACAACAAGCATCACTAGCTAAGACCCTGGCATCCCGAGCCATTGATGTATGTTGTGTTTCAGAAACACGCATACAAGACCCAAGTGTGGTTATTCACCTAACCCCACCTGGCCAACAGGATGAATCTTCAAAATTCACCTTGAGGGTGTCAGGAGATGCCACAGCTAGTTCACGAGGATTAGCTGGCGTAGGGATAGCTTTGAGTACTAGGGCAGAAAAGACATTGCTTGACTGGATCCCGGTAGATAGCCGAATGTGTGCTGTCCGTCTGAACGGATCAGTAAGAAGGAGAAAGGACTGCACTACTCGCCGATGCCTTTTCGTAATCTCCGCCTACGCCCCCACTGACTGCAGTTCGGATGAAACGAAGGATGAGTTCTACCAAAAGCTGTCTAGTTTGGTGAGAAAGGCTAAACGCTCAGATATAGTCGTTCTAGCTGGTGACTTTAACGCTCAAGTAGGGAAATTGTGTCAATCTGAGAAGGATGTCGGTGGCACCTATGGAGTTCCGTGCCAGCGAACCGACAACGGTGACCGTCTCCTACAGTTCTGTTCAGATAATCATTTGTTTCTTGTAAGCACTAACTTTAAACACAAGGAGAGACACTGTTTAACCTGGCGACCCCCATCATCAAACCAACGCTGGACACAAATAGACCACATAGCAATAAGCTATCGTTGGCGTGGGTCGGTAGGAGATTGTCGCTCCTTCTGGAACACGTGTGTAGATACCGATCACGCACTGGTCCGGGCTCGTGTGTGCTTACGACTGAACGGACGTAGGAAACAGCTGGCGGTAAAACCATCACGTCCCCAGCTCGATCAGGAAACTAAATCCCTATTTGAGGAAGAACTAGCTAAACGCATATCTGAATTCGACAGCTGTGCTCACCCTGGAGAAGCCTGGAAGAATATTCAGTCAGCCATAGATACAGCTGTAAAAGCTGTGAATAAGGCAAATCCAAAGGTGAGTAAAAACCACTGGATTTCGACTGCCTCATCCGAACTGATAGATGCTAGAAGACTTATTCCGGCGAGCTCCGAATTCAATGAGGAGCGAAAGCTGCACAAAAGGAAACTTACTAAAAGTCTCCGCAAGGACCGTGAACAGTGGTGGGTGACAAAGGCGAAAGAGATGGAAAAAGCATCGGCGATAGGCAACACTAGGCAACTCTTTAGACTCATCAGGGAAACGGGTGGGAGAAGGCAAATCATAAGTGAGACTATTTCTGAGAAAAATGGCTCCTTAATTAGCTCTCAGGATAGACGCCTTGAACGCTGGAAAGAACACTTTGAGGGACAATTTAACTTGCCTACAGCCACACTGAACCTCCCCGCCATCCAACACACCCGAATGGGATATAGACACTGGTCCGCCGTCTGTAGTGAGGTCACAAAAGCTATCAGTAATTTGAAACGAGGCAAAGCGGCAGGACCCGACGGAATTATTCCGGAGGTGTTTAAATATGGGGGTGACATACTAGTTTGTAGATTAACTGAGGTACTAGGCAAAGTCTGGGAATCAGAGACAGTTCCATCAGACTGGGGTAAGTCACTTATTATACCGATATTCAAGAAGGGAAACAAGTCCTCGTGTGATAATCATAGGGGGATCAGCCTAACGAACATAGTCTCTAAAATCCTAGGCTCAGTAATCATGCATAGACTAAGCAGAACTCGGGAGGAACAGACAAGGGAAAATCAAGCAGGCTTTAGACCAGGTAGAGGGTGCATAGATCATATCTTCACTCTTCGACAGATTCTAGAACATAGACACACTTTTCGGCGTCCAACAATTGTCATATTTCTTGACTTGAAGGCGGCCTTCGACTCCGTGGATCGAAAGGTACTATGGCAATGTCTGACTGTGAAGGGAGTGCCAAGAAAGTACATTGCACTAATCAAGGCACTCTATTCAAACTCACGTAGTCGTGTAAGGGCTTATGGGGAATTGTCATCTGAATTGGTAACAACCAGTGGTGTCCGACAGGGATGTCCACTTTCCCCATTTCTGTTTAACTTCATCATAGATATGCTGATGGAAGTATCCTTAACTGAACGTAATGACTTAGGAATCGACTTGTTACCAGGGAATAATTATGGACTTAGAATATGCAGATGACATAGTCCTGTTAGGGGAGGATGCTGACAAAATGCAGAGTCTTCTGAACACCTTGAGCAGCAATCTTCGTATGTTTGGCATGCGATTCGCCCCTACAAAATGTAAGATGCTGCTACAGGACTGGACACGTCAACCCTAACTTAGTGATAGGGAGTGAAGTGATAGAACATGTTGACCACTTCACCTATTTGGGAAGTTGTATTAGCACCAACGGACTGATTGGCGATGAAATCTCAGCACGGATCCGAAAAGCTCGAGCTGCTTTCGCTGACTTACACCATCTCTGGCGTAGGCGTGACATCCGGTTATCAACCAAGGGACGTGTGTACTGCTCATCAGTTCGCTCCGTCCTTCTCTATGGCTCTGAAACATGGCCAATACGCGTTGAAGACATGAAAAGGTTGACTGCTTTCGATCATAGATGTCTGCGATCTCTGTCTCACGTTAGGTGGTTTCACAAGGTAAGTACTGAGGTACTAGGCAGCGTCTGGGAATCAGAAGAAGTCCCATCGGGTTGGTGTAAGTCACTGATTACCCCCATATACAAGAAGGGAGACAAGTCTTCCTGTGATAATCACAGAGGGATTAGCTTGACTAATATAGTATCTAAAGTCTTAGGCTCAATAATCATGCGTAGACTGAGTGATGCTCGGGAAGCACAAACACGAGAGAGCCAGGCAGGCTTTAGACCAGGAAGAGGGTGTATTGATCATATCTTCACCCTCCGACAGATTCTAGAACATAGGCATTCCTACCGGCGTCCAACAGTCATTATATTTCTTGACCTAAAGGCAGCATTCGACTCTGTCGATCGGGAAGTTCTCTGGAGATGCTTGGCTGTAAAGGGAATTCCGAGAAAATATATTGCACTGATTAAAGCACTCTATTCGTACTCATACAGCCAGGTGAGGGCTTACGGCGAGCTGTCATCTGAACTGATGACGACCAATGGTGTCCGTCAAGGATGCCCATTATCTCCTTTTCTATTCAACTTCATCATAGATGTGTTAATGGACTTAACTCTAGGTGACTTCAGCGACTCAGGAATTGACTTGCTACCAGGGAATAATCTCGTTGACTTGGAATATGCAGACGATATAGTCCTTCTAGGCGAAGACGCTGACGAAATGCAGAGTCTTCTAAACACCTTGAGCCGCAATCTACGAATGTTTGGCATGCGATTCGCTCCCGCCAAATGCAAGATGATGTTACAGGACTGGACTACATCGCCGCCTAGTTTAAAAATAGGAAGTGAAGTGGTAGAGCACGTTGACCGCTTCACTTATTTGGGAAGTACCATCAGCCCCAATGGGCTGATCCCTGACGAAATCTCAGCACGAATACAAGGGGCTCGTTTCGCATTTGTTAGTTTACGCCGACTCTGGCGTAGACGAGATGTTCGACTATCGACCAAAGGGCGGGTGTACTGCTCATCAGTCCGCTCCGTCCTCCTGTATGGTTGTGAGACCTGGCCACTCAGAGTGGAAGACATGAAAAGACTAGCTGTCTTTGATCATAGGTGCCTGCGTTCTATTTCCCGTGTAAAGTGGCATAATAAGGTGAGCAACATGGAGGTTAGGCGTAGAGTTCTAGGTAAACAGGGGAAATCAATCGACGAAGTCGTGAAGCTACATCGACTGAGATGGTTAGGACATGTGTTACGTATGCCAAGCCATCGCCTCCCTCGACGAGCAATGTTAGCGGATATAGGGTCAGACTGGAAAAAAGCTAGCGGCGGTCAAACAAAAACTTGGCATCAGTCAATGAAATCCACAACAGTTGGTCTAAGCCACGTAAGAAGGTGTAAACTTCCAGGCTGGGGTCCTCGGGACGGTAAAAATCTATGGTTGGAAACAATTGGTGACATGGCTCAAAATCGTTCTCAGTGGCGCAGATGCATCCACTCCCTGTGACTTATGATCTCCAATGAAACTGTTTTGTATTTCCTTATTACTCCTTTGTCTCACACCTCTGCTCACTGTTTCTATTATGCTTTTCTTGTACTTTCTTCTCTTGCTTCGCGTGCTACACGGAATGTGGCGACTTGAACTTCCGCACATTTGTGCAAAGTTCTATGTCGAAAACAGACAGACAGACAAGGTAAGTAATGTTGGCGTTAGGCGTAGAGTGTTGGGCAAAGAGGGAAAATCAATCGACGAGGCTATAAAGTTACATAGATTGAGATAGCTAGGTCACGTGCTGCGTGTGCCTAACCATCGCCTCCCCCGACGGGCATTGCTAGCTGATATAGGTTCAGGTTGGAAAAGAGCCAGTGGTGGCCAAACGAAAACATGGCATCAATCCATGAAATCCTTGACAGTTAAACTGAGTCAGGTAGGGAGATGCAGACTTCCGGGTTGGGGCCCTCGGGACTCTAAGAATCAATGGCTGGAGACAATAGGTGACATGGCTCAAAATCGTTGTCAATGGCCAGCGCAGATGTATTCAGTCTCTGTAATCTTTCATATTCCTTTCTACCATTACCCATTCTGTTTCACTCTTATACTTGTCAGACTGTATTGATTCTCTTCACTCATCTTCTTGTCTACCTCTGTGTGCTATTTGGAAGGTGGCAACTCGAACTGCTGCACTTCGGTGCCAAGTTCTGTTGAATCCAGACAGAGAGAGACAGCTTAGTCTACGCAAGATTATGGCACATAGAATTTCAGATATGTTATTATTACTGCTATTGTTATTATTCATCCAGTTTCCGAGTGTAACACATGGTTACAACAGAACATCTCCATTTCCCTCAGTTGTCAGAAGTCTTTTTCAACTGGGTCCACGATTACCCATAAGCCTTCATTTCATGAACACACCGTCTCCACTATGTCAATCTTGGACGTTCAACTCGTTGCATCCCAACTTCCCCAATAACTGAAGTGGTACGCTTCTGAAAAGTACACGAATGATCAGAATAGAAATATGATAATACTATATTGGATAAACATGAATGAAGAGTAATTCAATGTTTCCGAATTGAAGGCTTATAATACCGGATTCAAAAGCGAAAATTGTCAATATATTTTTGAATTCTAAGGAATTAAGTTTATAGAAGTTCTCTTGAAACACCTGGTATCATTCGGATATATCCACTACTTTGAACACAGCGTCAACATTAACTAGTTGGTTGTTCGCAGTACGAAATTTAAAGGTCGAAAAAAGAACTGTACATCAGTATAAGAAGTGGGTTTTTTGTACACCAGGTCTGTAGTTAACATATAAGAGTATTTTAATGAGGACTTGGAGATAATCACAGAGACACTTACCTGCATATACCGTGGAGTTATACATCAACTTCTAACCAGTGGGCCACGGGTTTGAACCCCACTTCATGCACTGATGCTTTAGCAGCCCCGAGCAGTATATCTCGACCTCGAATGATACGTATGGCTCACTACCAGCTGCATGGAATCGCAAATGGTTATTGAGCAAAACTGAATTGATGTGAACCCAAAAACAAGCAAACATTTTCATAAAACAACTTTCAGTGCATCAGATGGGGGGGGGTTAAATAAAGGGGTTGATGTTACATTATTTCAAACTAGTCATTACGACTAAAAATAGCTTGCAACCAGTGTCCAAACAAATCACAGAGAGAAACATTCAGCAGTAAATACAGGTACTAAGATTTAATTTACAGTTATTCAGGTATTTTCCACTTTGGCTTTATTTCTGGCTTCAAAGTCACTTCATTGTCGTTGGTAGTTTTGTAAATTAAACAACCCCTCAATTATGACTATCTGCTAATGTAATAGGCAATAAAATAATCAGTCATGATTCTATGTAGTGATAGTGATATAATATATAATTATGTCCAATAAGTAGTCTGAAACACACTAACTAATCCACAAAGTAACACTGGATTTCACATTAGCACAACATTATGTCTTAGAAGGTCTGCACTAACTACCTTAAATAATTTAGTACTATGATGAAAAAGAGTCGTTCCTTCATTATACACACTTTATACATACCACAACCTTAAAAAATCAATCTTTTTATATTGTGATAACCACTAATTAGTGGTTATTTCAGAACATAGTGGGTAGAAAAAATATTCATTTACCAAAAAAGGCATTATCGACGCATAGGTTAGAATAAGTTTAGAATTTTTGTAAGCTTGGGAATAGTTATCAGTAGTGTATCATAATACACATTATATTGCATGTCAGAGATTACTGTAGATGCAAGAAAAGCCTTTCGCCAAATATTGACTTATAATGAATCGTTAGCCTAACAATCGATCTTTGGGAAAATATTGGAGGACTTCAAGTAATTTCGAAGTATTATATTGCGTAGCATCAAGCATACCAACAGAAAATTTTTTGGAAGCAGCAAACGTTAGTAACCAACCAAACAGTAGTTCACAATTTAAATTGAAACCCACAAAAATAAAATAATAAATAAATAAAAAGATACGGCCGTAAACAGGCTGCCCTGACCTTGGTTAACCAAAAAGTCCACCTGCACAATATTCAATAGAAATGTTACAAGCTTATAAAAACCTACTGGTTTGTTAAAGCTGTTTACATGGTGGTATGCAATAGTTATAAGTCTTTGGTGTTTTCAAGTGTGATAATTATTTTCTAACGAGCTCTGAAGATCACTGTCGGCTTGTTTTCAAGATGACGTGTGACATCTCACCTAACGTTGACTTCGAGAGCAATGCAGAAGTTTTTTAGCTAACATGAGAGCCAATAAAAATGGTACGCAAACTTCGGGACTTCATGTCACATTTCTAGATTTAGATCCGACGTCTTCAGCCCCGAAGTATCAGCAGTGGACGCAAACACTTCGCCAGCTGGAACTCTGTATAACATTGCTGCTGATGGTATTCGCAGGTTTGCTCCAATAATCAACCCACAGATAAACAGAAAGTTAGCTGTGTAATGAGATGTTGGTAGAAGGTAAGTGAAATAAGTCCAGATTTGTTGGTTTGAGCCTATGTTTATGCGTTTCTAATAAATCTCTGCACTTATTCAAACCCTTCCTGAATGAGTTAGTTGGGGGTGATGGAACCATTTATTCCAGCAATCGGCGACAGAAATTTACGACTAGAAGTGAAGACCAGTCCCCCAGAATCATGCAGTTCCTCCTTGGCATTTGAACTATCCTGTCACCGTCTGAGGTATTGCGGCCGGGTGGGATGAAAAAGAAGATATACTCCAGGATCGTAGTCATTATTTAGAGTTATTACGGAAAGTGTAATTCCCCCTTAAGACAAGAACTGGATGCCTGAATACTGTTTCTGAGACATGACGTCACCAAAGACCTGTCTAATGAATTGAGCTCATCCCTGGTGATTTTACAGCACTCTGTCTTTATTGCCCCTGAATATCTGACACTTTGAGCTGCCATCGCTCGACAGTGGTCTGTAATTCTTAAATTGTGACTTATTTTGACATCGAGATCCGTTTGTAACCAATATATACGAGTGTTATTCTCTTTAGTTCGTATGAGCCAACACTTGCGCGTACAATTTGCATGGTTGCTCACTTCGCTAAGTTTACCAACAGCATTCTCAGCACCGCACGAGCAACTTTTTGAGATCTCCCTGAAATAAGGGGGTGGTATTATCACCCTTCAGTTCTATCCAAGTTTGTAAGCCATAGACGTAGAGGAACACAGAGGGTTTGGTACGCGGGGTGACTGACTGATGTACAGGATGAATAGGGGGGCACCAAGTACGATTTTTCATGGCACTCAACTAAGTATTGCTGCCAAGGAACAAGGTTTCGAGTTGATCCCAAGGATTTGTCGCCGACCTTTCAGGAATTACCTGATCCTATTTAGTAGGCCGACCTTCATTCTAAGACTTTCCAGTGTCATGAGTGAACTTGTGTGATGCACTTTCCTGAGACGTTACTGGGACCTGTGGAAACGGCGTCAACATGTTTTCTGTAGACCCTTAGTTCAACTTGGATTCTGTTGCTGTATATGTGTCTGTTGAGAGTAAAAGGCTACCGTGGAAGCCATGCTATGCTCTGAATAGGTTGTTTTTTCACAGTTACAACAAGATGGCTTCAAGATTCTTTCCAGTATCTTAATTAAATTGCCAGTGGGAATGATAATCCTGCAGTTTGAAGGAAAGTATCTGGTTTCAGGATTTAGGTTTACGCATGCGTAATCTTCAGTCCTCTCAGTTTAGTCGTGGGGCACATCATCTTCCACACTTGAGGACGGTCAGAAAGGTGAGAGTTCGGGTTACTATATTGTAAGCTTGCTTGAGTCGCCTCCATGTGGGATTTCAGTTTTGTGTGCCAGCCCTGTGCTTCAGCGCCTGGGCGATGGCGTTTGCGTCAGTTTTCAGAAGCTAAATCTTGCAGGGGTTTGCACCCGTGACTACTGGTTCGTTGAAGTCGTCGGCTACAAGATTCGGGTATCTGGATGTCCACGAACCTGCCTCCTCCACTAGGAAGTCGTTTGAGCTGCAGTCGAGATTGCAGTATACAGTAACGATGATTACATTGCAGCTGTGACAGTCTACCCTATATTCTGTTAAGTTCCTGATTTCTGCTTTACTGTTGCTATCACCTAATGTGAGCCATGTTTCTGTTGTGACAATATTCGGGTATTCACAGTCCACCATATGGCCAATCTCATTCAACTTACTTAGAAGAATGTGGTATTAATGTAGAGAACAGTTTATACAGTGTGGATGTCCAACGTTCCATCATAAGAGTTCCCCGAATCCCCAGGATTCGAATAACTATAAAAAATTAAGTTACACCATTATTCTCTCAGTAGTGATGCCATTCGCAAAACCCTAGTGCAACAAACTGCATTATATTTTTAATATTTTATCATACCTTGACTCCACAAATTATTCTTGATATGAGTAGGAAGTTTTCAGCAAGTGATATCGGTAGACCGAATTTTACAGGCCGACCAATGATAACAGGTGTGCGTCGGACGGGGATCGAACCCCGGACCATGTGCATTGTCAGCGAGCATCCAAACCACTGTGCCACAGACGAACATGAATTTCACACTAAGAAAAAATAAGAATGTACAATTCTTTGCCAGATGTTGAAATTAGAGACATTGTACATGACTTTGGTTTAAAACGATTCATTTTGAAATATAGATAACTTCCGAGTACAACCTGAAATACAGTGTACTGTTGGTCGCCTCGCCTTCTCACTGGTCCATACTATCTACTTGCTCCACTCATAACCATGTTGTATACTTCGGATTTATTGCAGGAACCTGTTACCCTCATCCAAAGACAACCCTACAACCGGTTGTCCGAGTTGTACCGGCCGGTACACAGCTTCTACCAGTAGACACGATTTCAGCAGTGAACGCTCCTGTGGATTATATTAATAATTTGTAGCCGTGAACTTTAACTGTACATTCAAGTAACCGTTTAATTAACATTACTCATTACTGTATTTTTTTACAATATATCGTTACACTATCATCTCTTCAACTTGGAGTTTTATTCTTATACTTGATATGTTATCAAGCTCGCCAGACAGTCCTCTTCATATATATTCCTTGTGCTGACAATGTGAAGTGACTTCCGAGGTGAGTACTAGGTGAGAGAAAAACATAAGCCAAATTATTGACAGACAGCCTAATGCTTCATGAATCGTCATGAGTACCCCAAAAAAATGCTAGGGAAATGCAACACTTTTCGCTAAATGCCATTAGTCACAACTGTATTCGAATACATTCGAATGCATAAGATCTTATGTCCGAAAAAGTTCGACTGTGCCATAATGGAGTATTGAAGCATGGAAAGGTGTAAAAATAATAGCAAAAGTCACAGCACAACCGGACCAACCAATTTTTCACAACGAAAGGATGCGGCTGCCGTCTTAAACCCATACAGGTAATGCAGATGTGTTGCTGAGTTCGCTAGATGGTTGCCGAGAAGTCAGGCTATGAGAGGCACATAGGTGTGCTGCTTAGTGTATCATCCGTGTTCGTTTTTAGTCCATTAACGGACTATATCGAGACGTTCAGGATTTTCATCGATTCTGGATGTCATAGTTACAGTTATATCAGCTGAGCACCTCTCGTCAATTGTGGCGGTCATAATCCTTTGGTAGCTATTTTCTGATGAAATTTTCCCACATTCTATGATTACAAAGTTATCTGCCAGGATATACTAATACGCTCTCTTAGCATTGCAAAGTGATTAGTGCCATCCTACTCTTTCGGTACCAAAACTTTAACTCGGCTGTTAACCAGTAACAATTCATAAATCCAACTGAGTGTATCAAGCACCACGACAGTCGTCATCACTAAAACCACTTCAATGCCTGCTTCAGCAATTAAAACACATTGTGTATGTAAGACAATGAGTAACAGTGAAACCAGGAAGAGGAGCAGAACGAGAGCTTGGTAAGAATTTGCATATGTTACAATGGTGGATATCGGACAGCGCGGGTCAAGGTCTCACAAACATAAGAGTCGGTGGCTGTAAACTATAGCAGCCCGAAAGGAAACTACCAGATGAATAGATGGACGACCTTGACGAATTATTGTACAGAAATTGATTTAATGTGACTACTAGAAGTCCTGTGAGAAATTAGGAAGTTTCCTTGGAACATATACAGGATTGATCACGGATTGATATCAGTTAGAGAACCATTGAAAACCAGGGAGTACTGGATAGCTGCTGTTTCGTCCTAGTTTGGGAATCATCGGCAGTTGGGGTTGCGCTTAATCACGAATTAGTAGAAGTTAGAATTCACGAGCCATTGAATCGGGTCCCAGTGGCTGAATGGTATACGAGCTTGCCTTGTAACCGGAAGGTCCCGGGTTCGAATCCCAGTGGGTGCGTACTGCCGATGATTCCCAAACTAGGATGAAACAGCAGCTGTCCAGTACTCCCTGGTTTTCAATGGTTCTCTAACTGATATCAATCCGTGATCAACCCGTAAAACATAACTAATCCTTACAAACCAAACATATACAGGAATATTATCCTAAGTACACATTTTTTAACATTGCATTACTCGGACTGTAGTTTAGAGTCGCCATGAATTTTTTTGAAAAGGAAGAAAAAACAGGGTTAAGTACACTATTTATAACAGTTTGTATTTTGTTTCTCTTATTTACCGCAATATATATGTGAACTAAAATCTACCAATCATAATGTGTACAAGTGACCTTCAATTGCGCAGCCTCCCCGGAAAGACTGTCGGTGTGTGTCAGCTGGCTTCCTTGTATGGGTTTAAGACGGCAGCCGCATCCTTTCGTTGTGAAAAATTGGTTGGTCCGGTTGTGCTGTGACTTTTGCTATTATTTTTACACCTTTCCATGCTTCAATACTCCATTATGGCACAGTCGAACTTTTTCGGACATAAGATCTTATGCATTCGAATGTATTCGAATACAGTTGTGACTAATGGCATTTAGCGAAAAGTGTTGCATTTCCCTAGCATTTTTTTGGGGTACTCATGACGATTCATGAAGCATTAGGCTCTGTCAATAATTTGGCTTATGTTTTTCTCTCACCTAGTACTCACCTCGGAAGTCACTTCACATTGTCAGCACAAGGAATATATATGAAGGGGACTGTCTGGCGAGCTTGATAACATATCAAGTATAAGAATAAAACTTCAAGTTGAAGAGATGATAGTGTAACGATATATTGTAAAAAAAATACAGTAATGAGTAATGTTAATTAAACGGTTACTTGAATGTACAGTTAAAGTTCACGGCTACAAATTATTAATATAATCCACAGGAGCGTTCACTGCTGAAATCGTGTCTACTGGTAGAAGCTGTGTACCGGCCGGTACAACTCGGACAACCGGTTGTAGGGTTATCTTTGGATGAGGGTAACAGGTTCCTGCAATAAATCCGAAGTATACAACATGGTTATGAGTGGAGCAAGTAGATAGTATGGACCAGTGAGAAGGCGAGGCGACCAACAGTACACTGTATTTCAGGTTGTACTCGGAAGTTATCTATATTTCAAAATGAATCGTTTTAAACCAAAGTCATGTACAATGTCTCTAATTTCAACATCTAACAAAAACGTGTTCCACCATATTGTTACGTACTTCACATACGTTGCCTAGTATATATATATATATATATATATATATATATATATATATATATATATATATAGATTCACATGGCTTCTGGTTTATGCTCGTAATATTTACCAACCCATATTTCGAATTTTATTTTGCTTGCGTTATGTAGATGTAGAACTGCATGCTATAGTTATCGGCTCTGGGTGATGTCAACGGCGTATGTACGGTACTATCTATTTTCCTTATAGTAAATTCAACTCTCAAACCATTAAGTTGTATTTGTTATTTGTTCAATGGAAAATAGATCGTATGGATCCACAGTAATAGATATTTGATTTTTCGGTCTTATTATTTATTATAAAAATCCATAATCCAAATAATTCGCAAATATTACCCGGTAACAGTTTGCTATGTATGTAGAATCAAACGTTCCAGTGTATTACATGCTCAGCCGTAATTTGAAGATCACAGCTATATTATTTTTATTTAGAATTTGCGTTAAAGCGACTGCATTCAACATGTTTTTTTTTGCGCCGGTACATTTATACTTGAATTGCAAGTGAAAGTCACTGTAGTCTTGTAAAAAATAAAATGTGAACAGTTTCTCAACAATATTTCGTAAATTAAACTAGTAATATTTTTTTATCAGGAGAAGTCATTCGTTTGACAGTCATGGCTCGGTCTAGTCAAACGAAGGAACATGGAATGATCCAAACTGTTGTGGTAAGAAAGTTACCAGCAAATATGGATGAAGATACGCTCAGAAAAATTGTCCCGTCAGCTAAGACATTGGTTCTGAGCAAACGAACAGATTCAATTAAAGCTCTCATCACATTTTCTACGCAGAAAGGCTATTTTGATGCATTGTGTCGTCTAAGAAGAACTAATTTTAATGGTATCAAGGTAATAGTTTTGAAAAATGTTAATTGTTTATACGAAAACGTAGTTTGTATTCCTCAAACAAAGTGACTAATAAATAATTGGGACTGTTTGCAAAGCCCCCTCAAGTCTTCCGTCTATGCATTCATACTTATCAGTGAAGTTTTGTATAATTAATGAATAGACTTTAGCAACAGTGTTTTCCAAGTCTTTAGGAGAGACTAATAATACTTAAATTCAACTTTTTGTGGGTATTTTGTTATTTATATATATATATATATATATATATATATATCGTCATGAACTGGGAACAGTCCTCATAAATTTATCAACTTAAATGAATATGTAATAGCATATCTGCTGTAACCATAATCACTATGACGTAATTAATTTTCCATAGGATTTCTGTCGCATTGAATGACTACAAGTGGTAGCGAATTCCATAATGGAAAATGATTTAAACTGCATATCAACAAAGATAAACTACAAATAACTCAGTAATGATTACTGGTAAAGCCACGAGCAATTGTTAATAAGAATATTGTCCAAAAGAAGTAAGACATTCAGTGTGTTTATGAAGTTAGGAGTTGGAAGGGAAAGAATTAGACGAAAAATGCCGAATAAATACAAATTATGTACTAAATTATTGTATAAGTTAAAGAAGGAGAAATTTAAGGCCACGACAGTAAAAGAGACTGGATAAACTGCTTCTGTATACACAGTTCAGGGTTTTCCATGCGTGGACAGATGCAGCTCCGTCTTCACCTATGGCAATAGGATACTAGATGTTAACAGAGAAAAGTTGATGGTATTTCGACTTTACCCATGCTTATCGAAAGATTTGTAGAATATTGACTTAAATGATATGGAGGTGGAATTTCAGCAGTGTGAATTCCCGTTGATTTGTTTGTAGAATTTTCCACCTGTTTGTTGTGCATGATGATGTCAGTATTCAGCAACTGTCTACTTCTCATCCCATACACAATGTTATGGGGATGTTGTTACTCAGTGCTACTCGACTTTAAAACAGCTTAAAATGAGATTCTAACAATCAAAACATATTTTACAGTTGTCCTATTGTGATACTGTTATATTTTTAAGTTATTTGGTCAGTTATTCCGTAAAATTGAGCATAAAGTTAACAAATCAATGTACAAATTCTCAAAGCCGTTGTATTTTTGAAATCTTCCCAATGAAATGCTAAGGATCTTTTTTCTAATATATGTGTGAAACTTGTGCACTTTGGTTTCAAAGTTGTGTGATTATAATTGATATGATTGTGAACAATAAATTTTGTTTGTAACGTCATCCATTAAATAATACTATTTCACTGTGTGATATATCTAATAAACAAACTAATATGTATCTTTTTTCTAAATGTTTATGTTATGTTCTTTAAATTCTGAATTCGTGATTCTCTGAATCCCTACCGATAGCTGCCACCTAGACTTGGTGGTGTATATTGCGACAATCCAACGAGCTACACTGAGTGAAGCTAATTTTTCTGCAGGTCCCACCATACCAGGAAGCTCGTTTATATAGTGGTTAGACTTAAAGCACTTAGTATCATTTTGCAAGTCACACTATGTTAGGTCTTTGTGGGCGAAGTCGGGCTACTGGCGGATAAGGATGTTTCCCTCCCACGACTAGGAATCCAGCAAAGTTGTCTCCCCTCTTTATGGTGAGGTAGTTAAAAATAGTCAAACCGGAAAATCTAACATCCTTACCTTGTGGCGTTCCGAAGCGAACACAACTTCAAAAGCCACTTAGAACAGGCCGTGTGTGACCGACAGTTGTCCTATGGGTTCTTCAGTCATGTAAAACTAATGATTTTTCTGTTTCAGGGAAAAAAATCAACTACCACGGTGTGAGCAGCTGAGGAGTGATCATTGCCCACACACTTCCAAAAACATACAAAGCTGTTCTGATCGTCATCTACGTCATCATCTTGCTTTCTTCCTATTGTTAATACTACTCCACAGGCGGTTCCCTCACTTTCTTGTAACTCTTTGACCATTAATAGCGATGAAAGCAGGAAAACACTTCTTATGGTCTTTTGAAATCAGGCTGCCAGCTTCGTATTGGAGCATTTAAATCGGACAGCATACATTACTAGCCAGAACTTTGGCATCTCGATTCATGGATGTGTGATGTATTTCAGAGACACCTGAAGAAACCCAAGCGTGGTTATTCACTTGACCTCACCTGGCCAACAGAGTGAATCTGTAAAATTCATCTGACTCATGTCGGTAGATTCTTCGGCTAGTTCCTGAGGGCTCATAAGTGTAGGGATAGCATTCAAGTGTTAGGGCAGAAAATTCCCACTTGACTGGATCCTAGTGGGTAGCCGTTAGTGTGCTGCCCGTCTGCACGGATCCGTTGGAAAAAGTAAAGACCGCGATACCCGTCAATGACTTTTCATAATCTCCATTTACTCCCTAGTCGGTTGCAGTTCAGATGAAATAAAGGATGAGTTCTATCGAAAGCTGTCTAGTTTTCTGCTTTAGCAGAACAGTCGTTTTAGCAGGTGACCTCAATGCTTAAGAGTGACTGACTGAGTTTCAACATAAGAACTAACACAAAATTGCGGTAGTTCAAGTTGTCACACTCCATGTAGCACAAAAAGGTAAACAAAAAAGAGTAAAAACACTCAGAAGGACCATAATAAGGGGAAATGTGAGGGAGAAAGAATAGTAACATGGTAAAACAGTTTGGTAGATATGGGAGATTACAGGAAATGAATGCATGTGATCAACACGCCCTCCCTATCTTTAAACTAGCAGTCGTATGCTTTCCACTCTTGCAGTATCATTTTACATTTGATGGGATCGAATCGCATATCAAACATTCAAAGATTTCTGCTCAAGTTGTTCGGATGACTTCATTTTATCAACGAGACTTTTCCCTAGTAACAAGTCAATCCCAAAGTCACTCGAATCAGTTAGGGTCAATTCCATTTTCACACCTATGATAAAATTAGACAAATATGGAGACGGTGGGTGTCCCTAACAAAAACACCTTTGATTGTCATTACTTCAGATGATAACTCTTCTCAGCCTCTTGCACGGCTGCGTGAGTTCTAGTAGAGTGCCTTGATTTTCGCGAAATACTTTCTCAGCATTTTTCCCATATTCAGTTTACTCACATTAAATATAAGTTTTGATTATTCCATTCATTATACTAAGTATCTCATAAAACTGACTAGGTGGTTCGTGCTTATCGAATTAACCCCGAAGTGTTATATGCAGACTTAAAAATGGAAACTAAAGTTGTGACAATGAACTGGCAAAGTCGGATGATAATCGTACTCTTAAACTTCTCATTCCATGATAGCATGCTGTTCACGAAAAAGGTGTCATCGAAAAAAGAATTAGATAGTGTTGTCGGTTAGTTTCTTAGCATTTCTGTGATATTTATGTATCTGGGGCTGTAACTCAGTCTAGGTACTGAACTTTCAAGTACACCTAGCGTTCTGCTGTATCTAAAAACGTTTTGGTAACCGGATAACACTATCTACCATTAGTTTTATTTGACTTGTGTATGACACCTAGGCTAAGATGAATAAAGTAAAATATTTGAATTTTGTTTTCATGGTGTCTTTAGTGAATTTTACTTTTGTTTCATTGTTTTCTCTAGCCAGTGATATCATCTTTTTATCCAAAATCTAATGATAAATGTAAAATTGAGCCAGAAAATGTTGAGTTAACTATTCAAGATTTACCACAAACAATTACTGTATCTCAGCTCAAAAGGGAATTTCCCACAGCAGTATCTATAAAACTGAGAGTAGATTTATGGGATATAGGAAACCGGTGAGCTGTTTTTATAACAATATTTTTGTTTGAATGGATTTTCCTAGAATCACTTCAAGATTATCTATTTTTGTTGGTATGTTGTAATCATATTGACGTTTAACTTTCCCAATTTGCTCAGTAGGCGATAAACATTATTCTGTATGTCAAACAAAAGAAACTAACAGCCTGACATCTAAGCCTCACCACTGCTTATCTTTAATAGAGTTATGAGTGATAGCCACTGAATCACGGACTTGGACTCTTACTTGGATTTGAGCAGTCAAATAGTCCTATAAGGTATCACACACTAAGTATATAACTCATGGCCTAATAGCGCAGCATCGTCTTGTATTAGACAGGAGTGAATCCCATGCCTTACCATTCAAAGACTTGCTTAAGGTGTTTAGCAGGCTCTACATTTTGTTAGCATCGTCCTGGTAACAAGTCAATCCCTAAGTCACTAAGGTTCATATCCTTTGGTACGTTAATGAAGAAATAAAGCCAAAGTGGAGGCATCACACACAGAAGTGAGAATTTTAGATATTATTACTGCCATTATTATTATTCCCCTAACTTCCGAGTGGAACACAGGGCTTAAGCAGTACATCTCCATTTAACTCTGTTCTCAGCAGTCCTGGGCTCAGGAATGCCTATAAACTTTCATTCCCTGAACATACTATCTCCTGTAAGTCACTATTGGACGTTCAACTTGTCGTTTCCCATTGGGGTTCCACGCGAGGGCGCGGCGCGTGATGTCACTCAACGGTTTTTTCAGCATGTGTTCAACTTACCTCCATCTTCTTCTGCATACTTGTTGGGCAATAGTTTCATGGTTGGTTCGTTCCCTAGTGTTCCTTGTTGCTAATCCTTTATAGCAACCTGATTTTCAGTATGGGGTGAAGGCAGCTGTTGATTAAAGTCTGAAGCCTATTGGAAATGCTATTATTAGACGAGTGTCACACTAGCCATAAATCATCCTCTAAGTTTAAATCTTCTAGAGTCTTTCTGCATGTCAACATTCCTGTCAAGCTAATCTTTCGAAGATTATCACAGGAAGATTTTTCTCCCGTCTTATAAAGTGGAATAACCAATGATTTATATTAGTCAAACAAGAGTATTTCTTTTTCCTACACATTACGTAATTTCTTAGTTAACTCAGATAACAGTTCATCATCACCATTCTTAAAAAACTTTGGAACCGTTCCGTCGGGTACAGCTACTTTACCTCTTTTTATGATTAGAGACAGGTTTCACAGCCTCAGTCATAGTTGAGGGATGTTGCATGCCATTCATGTTTTGGTCCATGAGCACATTTAGAGTGACGGCTGCGCATAATATGACTTATGACTAAGATAATGTGAAACAAAATACCCATGATTCCGTAGTAAATCTGTTAGCCCACTGGTTTAATCAAGAAATTGAGTTATTGGTTGAAGTTAGAATTCGTGAGTGTATGAATGTTCACCAACCCAGTCGCTTAATGGTAGTGTGTCTGTTTCATGTGATGTTATTTTCTCAGTTCTCAAGAAACACAAGGTGGGGTAAAATAACTGGTAATTACTTCTTACTGTTAATTCGTTTTCCATGTAATGTCCGTTGATAAAAAAACCTACCTCGAAACTAATTGAGTCTTCGCATGTCTAACATCTGAGTGGTGTATTTGTTTGAAGTAATACAGAGATCCAGCTCTGTGAATAGTCATTGTAGTGTATTACCAAGCGGCTTCAAAATAAAACAGAATCCCATCTTTACCGATAACGACCAACTGTCACTTTCTGTCCTGGGTTCGAATCCCGGTGAGTGCGTACTGATGAAGAGTCCCAAACTGGGACAAAACAGCTGTCCAGTACTCCCAGGTTTTCCAATGGTTCTCTAACTAATTTCAACTCATGATAAAAATCCTGTAACCAATCAAATCCCTACAAACCAACACTTGAATATCATATTTTCTCAGATTATTTTTAAACTCTAAATAGTCGGTTATTCAGAAAATGTTTGATCTCATTTTCTAGTTGGAACTTACAACGTTTAGTTTGAAACTTTATGATTCCTAAAGTGATCTTCAGTACCTAAAGATATTGGAAATAAGCAACCTTACTCATGTTCGTTTACTAAGATATATGCCTACGGTACATTTTGGTTATCCACGTCGAAATAGTCCAGGGGTTTAATTTTCTTAGCCAAATGAATCACCTTAACGCTGATTGGGTATCAACTTAACTTCATATCAAGTGATGAATTTCTCTTGAATACATTTGAATCAACTTGTGTGTGCCAACGGAATATTATTCATATTCTCACAGTTCAATTCAGCATTAGCAACAGAACACGATATATATATATCTATTTGAACATTCTATTCCATGTCGTTTGAGGCAAACTGAAATCACACGCTCAGGTGATTGGTTAACGAATATAAACTGTAGATATATAAACAGCGGTTCGATCAATGAAAAATATACCTTGGCTTCCGTGTCTTGCCTTCTGTTGCTACCATCTTACTTCTCATTTGATGAGTAGGGAAAAAGTGAGTCGTTATTTTTTCTTAAGTTTAGTACTGTTGTTTCACTTGAGCATCATCAGTTAATTATTTGCATGAAGTATACGCAAAACAAATTTCATGAATAGAGCGGTACTGTTCAATTTACTAATATGCTGTTAAATTCTTTCGATTTATTATTCATCAGGAATAAATAATTGCTCGGATGAGGTTACCGATGTGATTGACTACTCATTGAAATTATAGAGGCAACCACTGTAAACTAAAGAGTATCGAATTGTATTTAGCACTAATTTACGACACTTCAGCAATATGAGCGCCAAAATCTGAGATGGAATGAATCTAAGGTATCTAACTCACTAATCAAACTAGATGTATTCGTAGATTTCTTACTACCTGGAGTTATTTTCCAACTAACATTGTTTGTCCATAAGGACAGTCGCCAGCATGCATAACGTCTGTCTTAGTTACCTCAATCGACGGAATTCACCAAATCCTCAACACAAATGTTTTACGCTTGATCTTAGCATAATTATCATATTGCTCCATTTAACGCGAGCAGTCCCGACCGAAAGCTGCTACCTTGACGTGGTGGTCGGGCTTGAACACCGCAATGACCTAATCAAGCTATACTGGCTGAGACTTATGTCTCTTGAGGTTCTACCATGCCAGGCAGGTTGTTTGGATAGCGGTTAAACAAAAAGCAGCTACCTCATCCAATACCATGATCCAAACAAATTCACAAAATTTCATGCCGGATCGGCCGTGGCCCGGATTAACAACGACCGCGCTTCCTGCTGCCGTGTCACAGGGCGGGAGTGATAAGTATGCTACTGAGGCACACCAAACAAAAAAGAACAAACAAAAACAGGCCGCGTGTGACCGGCCTCAAGCAGTTGTCCCCTGGGCTCTGCGGTCACGCAACCAACTTCCACGGTGTGGGCAGCCGGGAAGTAACAATCGCCCTCACAATCCGAAATGCACACAAAACCTCTCTAATCCTCACTTATCTTTGTCTTCATCTTCATCTCTATTACCTTGCCTTCCTTCCACTGATGCAACTCCTCTACTTGATGGCTCCTCACTCCCTCTTCACTCTGTGTCCACTAAAAACGACGAAAGCCAAAAAACCACCACGGATAGTCTCCTAAAGCCACGCCACCAATTTCATATAGGAGCATTTAATGTTAGGACACTTTGCCAAATAGGACAACAAGCATCACTAGCTAAGACCCTGGCATCTCGAGCCATTGATGTATGTTGTGTTTCAGAAACACGCATACAAGACCCAAGTGTGGTTATTCACCTAACCCCACCTGGCCAACAGGATGAATCTTCAAAATTCACCTTGAGGGTGTCAGGAGATGCCACAGCTAGTTCACGAGGATTAGCTGGCGTAGGGATAGCTCTGAGTACTAGGGCAGAAAAGACATTGCTTGACTGGATCCCCGTAGATAGCCGAATGTGTGCTGTCCGTCTGAACGGATCAGTAAGAAGGAGAAAGGACTGCACTACTCGCCGATGCCTTTTCGTAATCTCCGCCTACGCCCCCACTGACTGCAGTTCGGATGAAACGAAGGATGAGTTCTACCAAAAGCTGTCTAGTTTGGTGAGAAAGGCTAAACGCTCAGATATAGTCGTTCTAGCTGGTGACTTTAACGCTCAAGTAGGGAAATTGTGTCAATCTGAGAAGGATGTCGGTGGCACCTATGGAGTTCCGTGCCAGCGAACCGACAACGGTGACCGTCTCCTACAGTTCTGTTCAGATAATCATTTGTTTCTTGTAAGCACTAACTTTAAACACAAGGAGAGACACTGTTTAACCTGGCGACCCCCATCATCAAACCAACGCTGGACACAAATAGACCACATAGCAATAAGCTATCGTTGGCGTGGGTCGGTAGGAGATTGTCGCTCCTTCTGGAACACGTGTGTAGATACCGATCACGCACTGGTCCGGGCTCGTGTGTGCTTACGACTGAACGGACGTAGGAAACAGCTGGCGGTAAAACCATCACGTCCCCAGCTCGATCAGGAAACTAAATCCCTATTTGAGGAAGAACTAGCTAAACGCATATCTGTATTCGACAGCTGTGCTCACCCTGGAGAAGCCTGGAAGAATATTCAGTCAGCTATAGATACAGCTGTAAAAGCTGTGAATAAGGCAAATCCAAAGGTGAGTAAAAACCACTGGATTTCGACTGCCTCATCCGAACTGATAGATGCTAGAAGACTTATTCCGGCGAGCTCCGAATTCAATGAGGAGCGAAAGCTGCACAAAAGGAAACTTACTAAAAGTCTCCGCAAGGACCGTGAACAGTGGTGGGTGACAAAGGCGAAAGAGATGGAAAAAGCATCGGCGATAGGCAACACTAGGCAACTCTTTAGACTCATCACAGAATCGGGTGGGAGAAGGCAATTCATAAGTGAGACTATTTCTGAGAAAAATGGCTCCTTAATTAGCTCTCAGGATAGACGCCTTGAACGCTGGAAAGAACACTTTGAGGAACAATTTAAC